TGGGCCAGTGCTGGTTCTGCTGCAGCCCGAGCTGCTCCCCACCACCCGCCGCCCATCCCAGCGCCCGTTTTTCAGCCGTCGCCCGGCAGCGGGCCCGAAACCCCCCAAAATCTGCGTTTAGGCTTGTGCCGTGTCGCAGCCGGCTCAGCCAAAGGCCGATTCCCTGCCCCTCATGAGCTGCCCTGGGACCTCCTGACCCTCCTTTGGAAGGACACTTGGGTACTTGTAGCAATTTAGTGATATTTTATAGCCCATCCCCAGCGCCCGTTTTTCAGCCGTCGCCCGGCAGCGGGCCCGAAACCCCCCAAAATCTGCGTTTAGGCTTGTGCCGTGTCGCAGCCGGCTCAGCCAAAGGCCGATTCCCTGCCCCTCATGAGCTGCCCTGGGACCTCCTGACCCTCCTTTGGAAGGACACTTGGGTACTTGTAGCAATTTAGTGATATTTTATAGCCCATCCCCAAATCCAGTCATATCTGAACCTTACTTCAGCTTCAAACTAAGCTCTTTATTGCTTGCGTTAGCAAAATAGACGATGTGCACAGAACAGAGTGAAAAGCAGACGTCTTCCTCCTTCTCATGTGTCTGGATGGGAAGAACAGGGAGCTCCTCGGGAAGGTCCTGGAGTTACACAGCCCTAACAAGGCAAAAGCTGGTGAGAAAACATCAATTCCTGCATTACTGTATCACTTAACCCATTTTCACTTAGTTCCTATAGGAGACGAGGCACAAGTTACTGCCTTTCTGCCCTCCAGCTCCCTCCAACACCTTGCAAATCCATTTTGATAGCAAGACGTGTATCAAAGTTAGCAGCTAATAGTAAGTACCCACCAGTTTTGAGAGAAGTCGGCACCTGGTTAGAGGAGAGAGACGCAAATCAGCGTCTCTCCGCAGGACAGGCTGCGGCCCGAGCTCAGCAGTGATTTGCTTTCTCTGGCCACTCGCCTCGCATTGTCTGACCAAGCTGCATGGAATTGTCCGCAGCACAGAGCTGCCTCTCATTTCCAACCTGCATTTATTCAGGGCCAGTTCATCCCTTTTTGTTCTTGTGCCAACTTTTGCCATTAGCATAAACAGCTCTTTTCTCGCTCTGTTTTTTTATAGATGGTGACTTTGTCTCTCTCAGCCTTCATTTTCCTCAACGAAGCATAGGATGAGCTTGCCGTTGCCTTGAGCCTCCTCGGGACCCTCCCCTGCACCTTTTGCATCCCGGTTTCTTGTGTTTCTCTCCGAATGCCATTCATAGCAGGGTACAATGCATAGAAAAAGCATTTACTGTGAGTGGTCTGATGAACACCGCCTTTTCTCATTAAAAAGGGGAAAAGGATTTACCAACCTCCCTTGTCTAGACAGGAATTTTTAAAAATTAGTCTTCCCCTATTGTTGTTCTATCTACCGTCTGAAGATGCTTTTGCAGAGCTCAGCTCTGACTGGAGCTCTTAACTCTCCAGTCAAATCCAGCTGAGCTGTGCTGTGTAAGCCCTCAGTGGTTATTGAAATAAATCCGAAATTCATTGATTGAGCCCTGCAGCCAGTGCCTTTGGGGACAAGGGCTGGGAGAGGATCTGTAGGGTCGCTTGTAACGACAGGAAGAGGTAGAACAGCCACTCACGCTGGTCTGCAGAGATCGGTCGACATCAGCCATGTCAGAAATTCCTGGTTCAAAACATCCTTCAAACCTTCTGAACCTTCCAGAGAAGTAAAACTGCAAGAAATGTGCCACACCGTAAAGACAGCGGAGAGGCAACAATCCAGACGCGGTGTGTAACAGCCTCGTATCGCAGTGCCCTCAAGTTCACAGGGATATTTTATTTCCTTGTCCTCCGATATCTTTGACTCGCATAAACCCGCAAAAAGCTTTTAACCTGTTTTTGACATGGTGAACTCGCACGCAGCAGTGCCTTGATCTTGGCACGTGAAGATATCTGTGAGGCTCGGGGGATGGGGAGGAACGGTCCGGTGACCCCCTTGCACCCCACCTCCCCTCAGACCCAGCAGGCATCAAAACAAAGGCAGAGCGTGGGTGAAGCAGCATCTACGCTCCAAACTCACAAAGGAAAGTCTTTGTTTCCAGCGTGGACTTTCCCCTGCAAGTCGCATTTTTTATTTGCAATTAAGGAGATTAAGGGAGACACTAGAAAACAATTCTTTTTTTAAATGAAGCTAATCAAGCTGATTAATCTGTAGCATCAAAGGTTTCCCTCCCCTCCTCTGAACAGGTTAGACAAACATCTGTCAGGAACAGTTTAGGGCGCGTTGATCCTGCCTTGGAGCAGAGGTCAGACTAAATGACCTCTTCAGATCCCTCAAAGCCCTCCTTTCTTTGATTTTTGTGTTTTCCGTATGACTAGCAATTCTCAGTGTCTGATTTGCTGAGTGCTTGGCCTGAGACACCTCTGTGAACCAGAACTGTGCTCATTTCCCCCACCCCGGGTCATCCCCCGCACCCTGGTTTCTAAAGCAGTTTTCATGCAAAGGCTGTAAAAGACAACAAATGCCCCCAGATTCTTGTGCTGGGTGACTGTCCCGTGACTCCCCATAGTTAGAAATTCCTTTTTTTTTGCTAGAAGACACTAGGATTGTGCCTGAAGGATGTGGGCTGTGTGTGGTAAGTGCTTTTTTTTTTTTTTTTCTCCTTCTTGCCACCATTTTAGGACTAGGCAGCAGCAACCTGTTAGGTTTTGTAAAATCCCCTTCATCTTAAAGAAAGGAAATGTATCCCTCATTCATCTGCTGGTGTGTTGTGGTTTTTTTAAATATAGAAAGTGCCTGAGAACAGATTTTCCTTCGGACTCACATGTCTAATTTGCTTTTTGAACATTTGTGACACAAGCTAAGACTGGGGGAGGTGAAACAGGCTATTGACAGGCTGTGGATATGCTGACACAGCACAAAGCCGTGCAGCGCTGAGATGCACAAGCGTGCTCGCAGCCAGATGGCTCGGGAAATGAAGGCACGAGCTGCAGCAACAGCGTGCTCCATATGGACACCGTTACCTTGCCCAGAGGTACCTGTTCCGAGCCAGCTCGTATCACCATCATTACCGTGATGATTTTAACAAAATTACAATCTTAAAAAAATATATACATGTAAAAAAATCTGTCTGAGCGTCCCCAGTAAAGTGCACAGATCAGAAACAAACTGGGAAATTCCTCCCGGGTCAGGCAGGCGCCTCTCCTGCGTGGTTTCACGTGTAGGTGACAGGCTTTTCACCAGAAGACCTTGTAGCAGTGACATGAAGAAAAAAATGTTTTGTTTTTCTAAAAATGAGCTGGTCAACACGCTGAGAGCGTGGACAAGGGGTGTTCCCCCCCTCCCCATGGGTTGATTTGATCAAACCAAAATGTTTCACAGAAATGTATCGATTTCATCTCATTTTCACTTGCTTTTGGGAAGGCTTTGTTTTGATTAGGTCGCAGCACTTCATTTTGGCTGCTCCCTTACGGTGATGTTGGGGTGCAGAGGAGCAGCCCTGTCAAAAGTCCGTGCTGTGACCTTATCAATGCGCTGGGCTTCGAGGAGGCTGCACTGATGTTTGTAAAACCAAAGACGACCCCAGTTGCCTATATTTCTGAAATTTGTATTTTGTGAGAAATCTCAAAATCAGACAGGCTTTTTGTTGTCTTTGCTCTTTTCCTCACTCATAAAACAGAATTGCAAAATGTGAAATTTCCTTTCGAAATTAAAATCTTCTTGTTTTCCTGTGTAAAGCCGTTACCACAGATTCCTGCCCAAAAAACACTCCTTCAAAAGTTAAAACTCTCGGGGACCTCCTCCCTCCCTGCGACCAGGTTTTCTCTTGCTGTTCCCCCGGCTCACCTCTGGTTTTTCTTGGCTTTCAGAAGCCAGGCAGAGAAGTCTTTGGCTTCCTGGGTGCCCAGGTCCAATCTCTGGCCATTCGCAACTGCGACTTGGGGCTCAGCTTCCCTCTTGTAATGCTCGATGGTGTTGCTGGAGAGGCGAAAAGGGAAGATTTCAGCCCGAGGTGCCAGAAGAGGGTGCCAAAATGCTGCTTTTCCACAAAACCCAGCTCCCTCCCACTCCAGCAGCCAGCGAAGAAAGGGGTCTTGGACAGGGAGAGGGATGGTTGTGCTGTGTGCCGACAGACCAGAAACATTTCTAGGACTTAGAAAAATAAAAGAAAAAAAGAAAACCAGCTCCCTAGAGAATCACTGCTGCAGTCCAAGAAAAATATCCTCGGCTCTGCATTCTTCTGTAGCCATCAGTTGGCTGATGACAGCTGTGAGTTTGGATCGTAGCAAGCATTGGAAGTCTGCACACTTACTCGCTTTTCTTCTCCCGTCTGGCTAGCAACCACTCCACAAAGTTCCTCTTCAGCATGTTATCCATCGCGCGGCTGTAATCGCTTGCCAGGGTGGCTTCAGAGTAGCGTCTTTGCACTGGTCTGGCACTGGGAGTCCTTATACTTACACTGGGGTGAGAGCAGAGACACAGCGTGAGTCCGGTGCGGACCGGGAGCACGTGCCGTGCGGTTTTGCTTGGGTTACACGTGGTGGCCTGTGTGGTCCCTGCCGTCAGCGAGGTTTTGTGGTCACTTTTAATCTCTCTTGGTACAGGTGACCATTCCTGCGTTGTGACCCGAGGAGGTGGCTGGAGAAGGGGCTAGCACGCTCCTCATCCGTTTCACTGGCTGCTAGCACAAGTGCAGCTCAGATGTGAAAACCTGGGAGGAGATGAGCCCAGGATATTTGCTGGAGTCAGTGTGGTTTTCCCTGCCGTGGCCCGATTCACATGGACTTTGGGTCCGAGCTAAGGCGCCACGTGTGTGCAGGCTCACTCCTCCAGTGAGCTGCCCACCTTGGGGCAAGGAAACCTTCTCCCACGTCCTCGAGAGGCTCGGGGATGGATGGCAGGAGGCAAGAGCTGACCTTAGACCAGTGCTGAGCTGACAGCATAGACATCATCAGTGACTACTTAAGTTAGCAAAGGATTTCCAGGCTGATCCTTTTTTAGTACTGTTATCTGGGATTGCAGCAGCTCCTACTGCTCTAATGAGGATTCTTTTGGAGATTCTTGGGTGATAGTTGGAAATTTTGTAGCAGGAGTCAGAGAAAGAGAGGGAAAGTCTTTATTATATACCTGCTTTATGTAAATGGTCATATTTTCAGAAGCTTCCCAATACCGGATGCCCCCTAGCCTCATTCATGTAAGATGATTACATCTTGTTTCTAGTTCTCAGCCAACCTTCTTCTCTTCCTGATTGACTTCCAGCTTGTTCCTCCTAACCCAGAGCCATGAAGTTTGTAGGGAA